TCTGCTGTCCTTGCCAAAAAATGAGAACAAGTGTAGTAATCTCTAGCGTGTGTTGAGAGCACTTAGGATATGTCAGAGACGGTGCTAAGTACTTAATATGTGTGACATCATTTAGTCCTTACTAAACTGTTATGACAGGTACTATCACCACCCCAACTGCCACTAAAAGATGCACAGGCTGTACTCAAGGTTATAGAGATGGTATGAGGCAGCGTGAGAGTTTATTTTTCATTTTATTATTGAAATGTATTTTTATTTATTTCAGAGAGAGAGAAAGAGATACATCAATGATGAGAGAATCACTGATCAGCTGCCTCCTACACACCCCCTACTGGGGATTGTGCCCTTGACCAGAATCAAATCTGGGACCCTTCAGTCCGCAGGCCGATGCTCTATCCACTGAGCCAAAGCAGCTAGGGCCAGGATGAGAGTTTAAATCGAGTTTGAAATTAGTGCTCTTTCTATCTTTTCCTGCTTGACACATTAAAAATTTCAAGGCTTAAATTTAATGTGTCTAGTCTTTAGTGAAGCCTTCCCAATCTCTTCTATTCTTTCTTTTCCTATGCTCTCAGTATTTCCCATCCACATTCATTGTAATACACATTCTTACTTATACATTGGCCCATTTATTAGTTCCTTTCACAAACACACTTTGAGAGCATACTCTACCTGACACAGTGTGTGATATAGGTTAGCAGTAAGCAGGCCTGGACCTGGCCTCCTGAAGACCAGTGGGAAGGAGAGACTTTAGGTAAATAACCACACAAATACACCATCAAGTCCCCGATGATAATTGCTATGGGGAACAACTTCAGGTGCTGGTGACGTGTCTGTCTCCAGGCATCGCATGAGTGCCAGGAAAGCCACAACCTCAACCTTTTTATTTTCCCATCACTAACTTGTTCCATGATACCCAGTTGGAGTTGAGGTCATAAATAAAAGGAACTGTTTAGGTTTGAAATTAGATTTCTAGTTGGAAACAATAAAATCAAACTGGCAGAAATGGAATGGTAAAACTTTTTGGCCTCATGACAAGATTTGAAGGGGCAAGAAGACAAATATTATTGCATGAAAAAGGCTGTCTCAATGTAAATCTCTCAATTCAGGAATGCATTTGTTATATTTGATATAGTATGAGTTTGACAGAGTTCAGAATATAATGAAAACCTCTATTTATTCAAACGTTTGCCAGAAGGGAGATGCTGAGTGAAGGATGGAAGCATAAACTGGCACCTGAGAGAGTTCTTGTTACTGCTTGTCGATATATTGTTTACAACTTTTTCATCTACTGAGTACAAAAAAAATTAACAAGTTATACTAATAATACTCCCAAACTATTCAAATGAAATCCCCAAATATGATATTTGAGATCTCAAATTTCATGTGAAATACAATCAAAGGAATTTCTTGCTATAAAATAACTGTGGTAGTTTCAGGCAATTTTTAACCTACTGTGCTAAATGCCTCTGAACTGACAGCCAAAGATTATAAATTCTCAAAGAGAGACATTTTGGATTGAAGTATTGTACCTCAATGACACAGAAAGAATAATACTGAAATATACATTACAAAGGTTTTATTAATAAACACAAAACTTGCTGTAGGCTGTAAACAACAATAGAAAAAGATTTTAAATTGCTCAGACATGTCACCCAGTATTAGCAACCTTTTTTATTTGTTGCCTTATGACTCAATTTATTGCATTAAATACTTGAATTTACTGCTCTTAAAGTTATGATAAACTTGGAAGTGGGTTCTATTTTTTTGGAAATGCAATTTTAAAAAATTCAACAAACCTAAAAATTATCCATTGGTTCACCACAAAGAAGGAATAGCCTAGTCTCATTGGTTTGCTGGAGTATCTATGTCCCTGCTCATAACATCCAGACTGGTACAGGCATGTAAATCAGGCGGTTAATGCTAATGTGAGAGCTTGGAGTTCAATGGTTCGATGATGACTAAACAGTCAAATCATTTCTTCAGGAATTGCTTGAATGAGTTCTAGAAGTTTGTGCAATATAAAACAGAGGGATTATTTACGTTTTCTGTTATAGGTCTTCTATAAAAGTAAAAAGGAGTAACAGCCATGATCATCCTCCAATTCTCTGTAGCTTTATTTTTTTTGAACGTTGTTTAATAGTTTAATTTTACACTGAGATTTTCATCTCTCACCCATTTCCAGAGATTCTAACTGCTTCATAATCAGTAACATTAAAAAAAAAAAAATTAAATGTATATATTTCAGGAGGGAGAGGGAGAGATAGAAACATCAATGATGAGAAAGAATCATTGATTGGTGCCTCCTGCATGCCTCACACTGGGGATTGAGCCCATACCCAGGTATGTGCCCTGACCGGGAATCGAACCGATAGGTCCACACTCAACCACTAAGCCACACCAGCTGGGCAGTAACATTTATTTTGTATTGAATTCCCCCTCTCCATAAATTTCCTTCTTTGCTCACCAAAAGTTAAAAACCTAAGTTTAATAGATTTGAGGCTTTGATCCATTTGCCCCCTTGCTTCTCTTCTTACCTACAACTGCACTGACAGACACTGGAGGAAGCCTGATACTGGGAAATGTTACCAGAATGCCCTTGGTTCATTCAGAATTATACAAATATAAGATCCTATGCTTTTAATATTTTCTATATGAACTACATCTACACTGTGATAAATTATGCTCATAAGATAATTTGGTGATTTGAGATGAAATGAAATCTGTAACATTTTACTATTGCTATAATTGCATCTTAAATTATATTGCCTTGTACCCATTTCATAAGAGCAATATATTTTTAAATTGTTTCCACCTTGATTCAATTATCCTATAAAAGGGTAATATGCAAAAAGCCAAACAGAAGAATGACCGGTGGCTATGAGGCATACTGACCACCAGGGGGCAGACACTCAACGTAGAAGCTGCCCCCTGGTGGTCAGTGCACTCCCACAGGGGAGTGCTGCTCAGCCAGAAGCCCGGCTGATGCTGGTGAGTGCAGCGGCAGTGATGGGAGCCTCTCCCGCCTCTGCATCAGCGCTAAGGATGTCCGACTGCTGGCCCATGGGGATCCTAAGCCATCAGTCAGACATCCCTGAGGGCTTCTGGGCTGCAAAAGGGCACAGGCAGGGCTGAGGAACGTCCCCTCCCCACCTCCCGAGGGCACAGATGACATGCATTGGGCCTCTAGTGTCTACATATTTTAAATGATACAAATTCTAAAATAGTATAGTCTGAGTTTACATATATTTGTAAATATATAAATTATAAATATATAACTAATATAAATGTATATTATATAATATGTATAATATATCATTCTAAATGTAATTTAGAAAAAATTAAATATCCTACATTATGGAATAATACGTCCTTGTAAAACAAGTAATTTCTGACAGCATCCATAACATAGAATTGGAATAAAAATAACCTAAGACTATAAAGTCAAATAAAAGTATTCTATTGCCAAGTCAGTATTCAAAATCACTGTGAGTGTATTATTTAAGTTATGAAATTCTATAACTGCAATTGCACTTTTTAAGAGAAGACAATATGAAAGTTTTTTTTTCTTCCTTACAGTTATGCCTTGAAGAGACAAACCTGCACAAAACTAGAAAATAAAAATAAAAACTAACTAGGAGGGTCTAGCAGTTTCAAAAACCAGTGGGCCTTTAAGAGGCTTTCACCCACCTCACCTAGCTCATCACTACAATGGTGTGGAGGAAACTGCTAGCCAAGAAGCCATGGTCCCTTCAAAGCTACAGAAGGAAAAACGCAGCCACTATTTCTTCCGAGCCACGGAACACGGGTGACAACTTACCTTCCATGGAGATGACTTCAAACAGCCCTTAAGACCACTTCATCCTGCCATTCTGCTGCAATGACAAGGATGAAAACTACTGCCGCAGCCTCACCAATTTTCCGCTTCCTTCACTGCAAAGCTCCCAGGGCTGCTGCCTCTTAGAGTTCCCTGGTGAGGCTCACAAATTTGCCAGACAACTGTTCTGGGCTGAGCCTGGGGCCTGGTGTCTGAAAGCGCTCCAGTGACTCCAGTGTGCGGTCCAGGCCTGTCAACTGTTGCTCACACCCAGAGTTGCTGCCATAAGTTTCCCTGCCTTCAGCTTGCCCTCCTGTGGCATCCTCTGTGGACACTGCCAGAATGATCTTTCCGTAAGGCCTACAGAATGCAAGTCACACTCCTGAGCACCATGTGAAAGACTCCACAGGACCTGCTCTTACACACCGGACCAGCTGCCTCCCCGACACTCTCCCCACAAGCTCCACCAGCTCTTGTTTCCCACACGTCAGCCTCAGCCTCTGGGCCTGAGCACTGACTCATCTCTTGCTCTGAGATGCCCCCCGCTGTTTATCTGTTTGGAAGAGAGTCTTCTCTGTGAAGCCTCTCCTGACATCCGAACCCCCAGCCTCCCATCATGCTCTCAAAGCACAGGTGCCCGGTCTCACGTTGGTCTGTCTGGTTTTGCTGTTGGACTCTCACCATCATTAGGCATTTTTTGGAGCAAGGAGTATGTCTCACTTGCCTCTGTATCCCCCAAACTTAGCACACTGCCCAGCGTATACGGACATTTTGTATGTGCTGAATAAACGAATGAACAGCATTTTATACTATTTCCACTTATTACCAACAGAGTCAGACGGGATTCATATTGGGTCTGTGGACAACTCAAGGTTATAGTAAATTTAAGACGTCTTAATATTCATTTAATATTTAGTTAATAGTAAGGACCATTTCTTTCAAGATTAGCCTTTCAATTAAATGTGAAACATGGTTCAAGTCAAAGAAAAACCTTCATTAAGTCCTCAAGAGTGCTCTCTGATTATCAGCCTCCTCAGACCACACCTTTTCAGAATCAGAGCCAACAGATACTCACCTTGGAGTACGGGTAGGAAAGGAAGCCCACTTAATGCCCACCACAAGTTGGCCCACTTTGGCTGCTCCCATCATGTGACATGTAACCCACAACTCTGGTGAACATGCTTACTTTGTATTTGCTTTCTGATCTGGAAGGGGTGGGAATATGTCCTTTTTTCTTGAAGGTTGTAAAGTGCTTGCATTGAGGGCATGGCTTGGTGCTGGCATCAATACGGCCAAGTTCCAAGAAGTATTTATATTTTATGGAGTCTTCATGAGTTAGGTTATAGACAACCGTTGTTTCTTCCAGAAATTCAAAGCATTCTGTGATAGGGCATTTGATTTCTACTTGGCCAAGCTGTACCTGCATGAAAGAGCAGAGGGGAGAGAAAACAAAACCATTGGTTATTGCATCTCTCTTCTTTTTCTTCACATAGTACTTTTTAATGATTATAGAAAACAATTACCTGTTATCATTCATGATTCCTAACATGGTAAATGCTAAGCACATTGGTACCTATATTGAGCAGTACCAAAAATAACTAATCACTCTATACTGTTTCCAAAATGATTTATAATGTGTTTAAGCATTCTCTCTCATTACAGTATTTGTGAATGTCAATGGACTTAAACCACAGGCTCACCAAAGTAGCAAATTATCACCCCCCTCTCTGGAAACCCCAGGGTGAGATAGCCACTAAAGGAACAGCTGGGATGACAAGGTATTTCAGATATGTCAACCTTTCTCCAGAACACCTCAGCACTAAACTTCGGGCACATGCAACCATTTTAAAAGGACAAAAAAGGAGACTATGAATATATATCTATATGTTTAATTTAAAAACTGCCTGCTGAAAGGGTAAATTACTACATACTTTTATGCTATTATTGTACAAAACCAGATCCACAGAGGTTTTTCCAAATATTTGCCCCAAATGATTTTTTTTCTATTTTTTATGAGTCTGCCTATAGTTGCGATCAGATTTTATTGCATCGTTAAAAGAGTTATGATATTATTATATCCCACATTATGTTTTATCACAAATCATTTACATTTATAGCTCAAGACAGAAGTCCTCTGAAGATTTTTAAATAGACAGAAACTATGTGTGCTATTATAAGAAACTGGCTTAATGAGATGGACAAGACATTTTTAAAAATTAATGTTTCCTCTCTCACATTCTGTCGACATTAGTCCAGCCCATGTCTGAGCCAGGTACTAGGTTAGGCACTGGAGCTTTGCAAGTGTCTGTCAGTCAAGAGGCAGCTGTGACACAAGTGGTGAATATGGCTAACAGGGTGTCAGGGAGGATACGGGGGAGGCTTGGTAACCTCACACGCAGAAGGTTCAGATGAATCTTCTTGGAAGAAGCGAGGTTTCAAGTGAGATCTTAAGATTAGTAGGACTTTGTCAGACAAAATAAAAGCTGTTTCCACAGACAGAAGACACAGCAGGGGCCAAAGAGCACAGAGCACACTGCAGGAGGGACACCCATATCTATCCCACATGCCAGTGGATCCAGTGTGCCCTCCGGTACTCGCACCCCAACTTAAAGATGCAGCCTTAGCGTCCCTGGGCGATGGGAGGAAGACGGAAGTACAAAGGGTAGTTCAGAAGGATGAGGCTGTAAAGACAGATCAGAGCACCAGGGCAGAGTATCAGAGCATGAAGCCATCAGAGAAGTCTGGACGTTTTCCTATGAGAATGGAAAACTGTGGTTTTAGCGTGTAAAAGAGGCCTTCTTTTAATTCCACACAGAGCGGCTCACTTGGGCCATCTCAGTGCCTCTTATTTATTGGGAAGAAACATACTTTAGGGGGTAACAGCCGGAATTTTTTTTTTTTTGTCCCAGGTCAAAGTTTTAATCTGGCCTCCCTCAACTATAAATGTATTTGTCCTAACTATATAAATGATAACAATGGAAGTAGCAATTTCACAGCTACCAGGAACAGTCAGAACAGGAATATCCTTTAGGGACCAGAATGCAAGACAGCTTACGGGAGCGGGTTATCTTGTTACTCCTCTGGCAGTGGTGTTTGTTTCGATTCCACATTAGGATACCTGCCATCTAACATCCAACCAAATACCTTTTCTTCCTCAAATCTGCCTGCAAATCTACTCCATCTCCGTGGGACACATCATTTCCTTATGCTTCCACATGATCTGCATTTTGCCTTTTCCATACCTTCTTTCAGAAAGCTCCCAAATCCCTACCCCACTACATTGAGTCAAATGATCTCACATCCTATTTCCACTGCTAACTGCCCCCTTCTATTTATTTATTGTGATTTTATGGTCTTTCTTCCTTTTATGGTATGGAGCCCGAATCTACTTCCAGGACAATGGCATGAGTCACTTGAAGTATTTGTTGAAAACTCAAGTTTACTGGCCCACAAAGCATCTAGAGAATATTAATCACTGATGAAAAGCTAGTCACTGGCAATTTAGAGCAATTACTCATACAATCCTTTGAATTACTCATACCTCTTCATACGAGCAATATCCACCTTTTCATAATAAAAATGCTACTCATGGCCTAGATCTCTTGGCCTCTACAAGTCTATCTTTTTTTTTCCCCCCCTCAGAATAATTTCCTGAAAAAAATCACTAGCAAACAAGTCATCATGATTAAGCAAAATACATTTTTTTAAAATTTCATCAAGATAACATATTTCATCAATTCAAGCATGCATTTTTTTCAACATTTTAATATCTCAAAAGGCAAGATTATCTTACAATCAATAGTCTTTAAACTATGGCTTAATGCCATAGCTTCATTTGCAGTGTTTTTATTTTCTTGGTGGCTCAGAATACAATATTGCATCCTACAATTGATCATGTCTTAAGATTTCAATGAAATGTGGTTTTTATGGGTTAGGCCAGTGGTTGGCAAACTCATTAGTCAACAGAGCCAAATATCAATAGTGCAACAACTGAAATGTCTTTTGAGAGCCAAATTTTTTTAACTTAAACTTCTTCTAACACCACTTCTTCAAAATAGACTCGCCCACACCGTGGTATTTTGTGGAAGAGCCACACTCAAGGGGCCAAAGAGCTGCATGTGGATTGTGAGCCGCAGTTTGCAGTATGATGGCCTCTGGAGAGATGGAGAGAGAGACAGGACTTCTAGTGGAGGCAATTTATGATAACAGGTGAATAAACCAGGCAGCCTGTCATCAGTTATGACAGATACCACCAGAGAAGGTACCTGAAGAGGTGCCAACTTAACCTGAGGACTACAGGGCCTGTCAGGCAGAGAACTTAGGAGAGAACTTGGGGGAAGGGACTGCAGGCAAAGGAAACAAGGACAAGGGCCCAAGATAGAAGGTGCCCAATGCGCCTGTGCTCCGAGAACAGAATTGGGTGACTGGAACACATCCGCAATGAGCCAGAACACACAGGCCTTGCTGGCTGTGGTAAGAAGTGTGAATTGTATTCTACATTCAATATGAATCATTGACTAGTTTTATGATGAGTGATATACCTCGAGTTACATTAACCTGTTAACCGAGTGGGACGTATAAATACGTCAAACGTAAACAATATCCGGTATGAGTAGGACATATGAATACGTCCTTGAAATATATGTTGCGCCCTGAAATAGGCGGGATGTTTATTTCCGAACAACAAAGGTATTAGTCATCCATACATGTCTCGACATCAATTTAAGACATGGAGGGAATCAGTATAATTTCGCTAGTGAGAGTGGTGGACGTGTTCAACAAGAATTGTTTTGGAGTTAACACATGATTACTGAATAAAGGGTATAGGATTTACTTAGATAATTTCTATACGTCAATTCATTTGGCTGAACTCTTGTGTCAAAACAATACAGACATTGTTGGGACAATGAGGATAAACAGAGTCGGAATCCCCAGTGAAATAAAAACAAAAAAAATTACAGAAAAATGAACATATGTAAGATTCAAAGACAAACGTATGGTTTTAAAATGGAAGGATAAAAAAGACATATTGATGCTCAGTTCTATTCATAATGACGAAAAGACAATGATTGAAAAGAGAGGAAGAAGGCAAGAAAAACCGAATGTTGTCCTGGATTATAACAAGAATATGGGCAGCGTAGATTTGGGAGATGGAGTTATGGTGGCCTACACGGCTGCCCGTGATAGGATAAAAAAATTTTTATAAAAATATTTTTCTACGATTAATTGATGTGTGCTGCTTCAATGCATATATTATATACAAAAAAGATAAAGGTCATTTGGATCGATTACACTTTTTGATAGAGTGTGTAGAGAAATTGGTAGATAACAACATAGTGAAAACCCCCCCAAAGACATCAACAAGCAGCTCTACATCTAAACCATCACGCTTAGTTGAAAGGCATTTTCCAGAACAAATGAAAAGCGATATAGGAAAAACTAAATCCAGGAAATGCCGAGTTTGCTACAAAAAAGGTGTTAGGAAAGAATCTACATACTGGTGTCTGGATTGTAAGGTAGCACTATGTATCAACAATTGTTTTAAAATATATCACACAGAAGTTGAGTTTTGAATTTTTACATCTATATTTTAATTTTTTAAACTCAATATTTCTATTTTATTTGTGTGCTTTTGTTTATTGTTCTGTAATTAACTTTTTTATATTTTTATTGTGTATCAAAATAAAATATATATATTTTTTGTAATCTTTATAATTGTAAAATTTTTAATTTTTTAATTCGACATTTCCATTTTTTGTTGGTATTCTTTTCTATTTGTTTGTAATTTTGTATTTTCCTTTCTGCTTTATATATAAATAAACAATATATATATATATATATATATATATATATATATATCATAGTCTTTTCATTTATTTTAAGTATAAATAAAAAATAATAACAACATGAAATTACATCCTCCGGGCATGACGTGCTGACACGTCCTAGTGAAAGAGTACATACCCATTATATGTTGCGTAATTAAAAAGAAAATTCCCCGGTTAACAGGTTAAAAAATCAGACTCTTCCTGTAGAATGAACTGAGGGAAAACAAAAGTGGAAACTGGGAAAATGGTAGGACTCTGGATTGCACCTGTTCTTACCACCAGTGGCATCTAACTGGCCATTGTCCAGGCAGAAGATGATAGAAGATGGAACTAGGTAGCCAGAGGTAGGAAGGAGTTCTATATGGAAGTGAACCAAATGGGGTTTGGTGATGAACCAGATATGGAACATAAAGTAAAAGAAGAAATCAAGGGTGATTCTATATTTTTGCTTGAAATAATAAGATTGGTAGGTGTTACTAAGTTTTTAATAAAATATAGTTTATGTGGACATGTGATATTTGTTGGAAGTGATTCACTGCAAATTTATTATAGTAACAAGAATAAAGATCCCTAATTCATCCAAAAAACATAT